GAGAGAGAGAGAGAGAGAGAGAGAGAGAAGAAGAAGAAGAAGAAGAAGAAGAAGAAGAAGAAGAAGAAGAAGAAGAAGAAGAAGAAGAAGAAGAAGAAGAATGCACTATCTCCATTAGGCTAATTTTCTGATCTTAATATTTCTAACCATACAGAGAATGTCCCAAAAGATTTAAAAGTTTTGAGCTTTAATAACCTCAGGTGTACAAATTCAACAAACTTGCAAACAAACATACATCATGTGGAGGTTTACTTGCCTACATTCCATGCTTTGGGACTTCTTATAATACATTTGTTGTTGTTGTTGAAGTACCTTGTTTGAAGATGGCAAACAGAAACTATTTTTAAGTTATTAGAGCTTAAAACTGCACTAAGACTTTGGAATACCCTTTACGATCTCCAGCCTGCGTCCCTGACCTAACTCCTTTCACCTGATGACTGATATTTAAATTCTGAAATGGGTTAAATTGTTTCTTTAAAAGTAATTCTCTTGTCTTGCCATATTCTCAGAGCAAAGCTGGTTGAACATTTTTCTAACTCAGTTTCTTAAAGCTTTCTCGTTCATCAATTGGCGATCTGATTAGTTTTGTGAAAAGTACAGAGACACACAGTTCTCAAACTCTTGTGTTACAGAAATAAATCTCAGCCTCTATGTAATGTCAATACTATGGAAAATGATTTGGGGCAGTACTTTGAACACTGACACGGTCATATTTTAATAAGTTTCCACACATTTATCCAGTTAAAAAAACCTGTCTTAACTCCAGGTGTTTTCTCCCCTTCTCCCTGAACAACGTTATTCAGGTTTTTATCTGTGACTTCTTTTGTTTTCATAAGGGTCTCATATATTTCCTGGGCTCTGGCAATTTCTTTCTGAGCATCGAAATGAACTTTTTGCCTGGTCAGGAGAGGAACAATTAAATTAAAATCATTAATTCGCTTGTTTAGTTTTCTGATGTTTTCTTGAAACTGCTCACAAACTTGGTTCCACTGTTTCTGTTCAATTGGTGTCATTGGATTCCCAAGTTTTTTCCTCGACACTAAAATTGCCTCTCTGAGTTGATCAATAGTATCCTTTATTTCCTTTTGCATTAGGATCCACTCTGGTTGATATCCATTATCTATCAATATTCTATTCAGGTTGTGAGTCATGGGATCAATATATGAACAGCCAGAAAATTTTTTTAGAGGTTTTCCTTTCCCACTGAGATTGTCAAAGTCTCCTTTTGCCATTGATTCCTGAATGAGATCCTCCACTAAACGCTCTATTGCTTGAGTTATCTTTTGTTCTCTACTGTGTCTTACATCTTTAACAGTTATACTGTCAGTGAAATACTGGCTTTGTAGCTTCTGCTTTTGGTATTCCATCACTTGCTCAGTTGCACGGTCTGCTCTAAATTGCCTATACTGCTTCTCTCGTTGACTTGGAGTCCCAAAACCAATACCTTCAAAACTTAAATAATGCCGGTGTTGGGGTGTTTTATATTTGAATTTTTCTTCTTCTTCTTCTTCTGCTTCTTCAACTTTACTCTGTCTGGCATTTGTTTGTTCTATCACGTGGGAAAGCACCTTCCTATAAGCTTCTTCAATCCTTATAAATGTTGCAGAATCAGCAGTCCTAGACCCACCGTCTGGATGGTATCGCTTGGCAAGCTTACGAAAAGATTCCCTGACATCATCTGCAGAGCATCCTTCATCCAGATTCAGCAGCCTATAATACTCTCTCATCTTCTTTTTGGATTTATGAGTTGACATCATTCTAATTCTAATGACACCAAGATATGAACCCATTTTCATTTGATTAGGAATCAGTGAAGCATTTATCAGATGAGATCTTAAGATCTGAGCCATCATCACATACATTGTGTTCATCATTATACCCAGAGTTCTTCCTAGCAATGATCTATAAAATGAAACAAATATAGGGTGAAGAATGTTGTACTATCAGCAAAACTCATATTTTCAGCAATAAGGACAAAATTATACATATAGTAAGGAGCAGTTCTTTCTAATATTGCTGAGAGAGAAGATTAGATAGTCTTACTGACTGTGACTGGCTTCCAACAAGGGGAAGAAAGTGCCAGACTGATGAAAGGCAGGACATTGCTCTTATCCCACAGCTGGCTCCTTAATTCCAAGGACACAGTCCGGCAACAGGAGGATTTATGTCCCACAGCTGCTGCATTAATTCCAAGGACATAACCCAGTATCTCTTTCTTTGTTCTTTTTTTCCCACCAAAGCTTCTGTTTTAGAGCTGAGCTCCACAGGAGGAAACAGACAGTAATAGATGACTGGCATCACTGGAATGAAGATGAGAATGGCAAAGCCTTCCAATAAAAGACCCTGTAGCCCGTTCAGGAACTGGAGCTGTCTGGACCAGCTATCTGGCAGATGGCTCCCCACTTGAGTGTTTTCTTTTCTTCTCTCTCTCTCTCAGCAATAAAAGCAGGTCTTTCTTCACTCTATCTCTCTGCATCTACTGAGAATTCTTTCTCATTTGGCAGGCAAGGACCCACACATTTGAGGGAATTGGCCACCCACTTGGTGGGCTTTCCAATTTGGGGGATCCCTCTATCCACTAACACTGCTAAAATTCTAATAGCTATGTTTCACCTATGTTAGCATAGAAATGGAAGTTAATGATGTTTTGCATTCGCATACTGTGATATAATCTGGGTTCTACGCCTTACTAATTAACCACAGAATTTTAGAGGTGGCGAGTTCTCAGAGATCATCTAATCCAGTCTTCTCATTTTATGAGAAAATGTAGGTCCGGAAGGTTAAGCAGCATAACTAAGTCACATAGCAAGGTGTAAGCAAAATGGGTAAGGTTAGGTAGGGCACAATAAGCCTCTCCGTTAATTGTCTGTAGTCCCAGCCAGATTATAAACTTCATCAGCACCACTGTTTCTTTAGTTAGTGTATCACTGTCCTTATCGTCCCAGGGATTCTTCTCATGTCATGAGAAGACTTACGTGAGACAATCAGAGAACATGACAAAGCAGGTACCTAGTCTGACACTAAATCGAATAGAATCAAGTGTCCAAAATACTGTAAACTCTACAGCTTGTTACGAAGGAGCTGTCTGCTGCATGCCGTAAAGCCAAGATGAGAGGTGATCCCTCCCAATATGGTAGCTGTTATTTTTAAAACGCACAGCATAGTAGAGGAGAAAGTCTTGTACATCGATAATGGCAATTAAATGCTTAAAGTGGTTTAACTGAAAATAGGATTTTGATGTATAAACGCTAAAACTGAGCTCCTGGGGACTCCACAGTTTTCTGGACAATTGGGGTCAACAGCTTTCAGAGTTGATTGGGATGGTGGTGACTGTGCCAAATGCGGCCGTTGCAGGGGAGCGGTCAGTCCCAACTCCAGGAACGCCCTATCCCACCCCCTACTCACCTTCTCATACATTGGGAAGGGGCTCAGCGGCTCCCGCCCCTATGCTGCGCCTCTGCGCATGCGTGCGCTGTCTGCCCTTCACTCCCGTGGTGATTCCGCCCAGGCCGGCAACGAGTGTCTCCGCTGGACTAGACCATCCGCCGTTTGGCACTGAGTGACCTCTCGAGGGGTGCGGAGGGCACTATTATACCTAATCGGGACATATGTCCTATCTTACCTAGGAACCCCAGGATCTCTCTTAAAACGAACTCTTCCCAAGAGGAGATAAGCAGGACATTTCGGAAGGCTACGCCCCGCCCCGGGCAATCTGCTCCGCCTCCGCCTCTCCCCCACCTCGAGCAGGAGATGGTTCGGTCGATTGGGATTCTGGGCGATGTAGTTCGCCGGGAAGGGTTGCGCGCGCAGGACCCCGCGGCGCGCGTGCGCCTTCCGGGAGGGAGGCGGGACCAGCCAGGTGGAAGCAATGTTGTCATGGCCAGAGCAGTGACGTGTAGCGCTTATTGCAGGGCTTGGGGAGTGTAGGTTGGGACCTTTGAAGCCCTAGTGCTTCCGAGGGCGATGCCCCTCGGTAACTTGTTTTGGGGAGGGGAAGGCGAGTCCGTTTCCCCAAACGTTACTTGAACAACCTCTCAGGGACTGCAGCCATGGACACCAGCTCAGAAACATGAAAGTTCCACTTAATCCAGAAAGAGCTAGCTAACCCAGGCTAGAAGCCTACTCTTTCATTAGTTCAAGTACTTAGTGAGCAGCTCGCCTAGTCAGGCGTTGGTGAGGAGTGAGGACGGTCGAGGACAAAATCAAATTATGTGTTTACTGACTTTAAGTTAAGCCACTGTCTTGGGAATTTGCTGTTTCCTCCTCCTGTATGGGGGGATAATTAAAAACAAAAAAAGAAGGTGGCAGAAACTTGAGGAGTCAGACCTGAGTTGAAAATCCTGTTTCTTACGCTTGCTTTTTTCTGTCTATGTTATGTTATATAAATGAGGGTACAAACAAATGGTAAATATGTATTTAGCACTTTTTGCCAGAAACTGTGCTAAATGCTGTCTATATAGTCTCTTTTAATGCTTTCAGCAGCCCTGTTAGAAAATGCTATTGTTTTCTCCATTTTACTTATGATGAAATAATAATGGCATTAAAATCACTGAGTTTTTGTGAGACTTATACAATGTATGTAAATCACTTTGCACCGTGTCTCGCAATAATTTTTTTATTATGACTATGTCTCCTAAAAGGAGCCAGAAATAGGTACTAGCCTAGAAAGACCTCTGAGTTATAGACAATAATCTGTTACCTTCTGCCTAGGTGCACAGAAAATGGTTTAAAATCTGATTCAGTGGGATTTCCTTAAAAGCAAACAATGAAAAAAAAAGAACTGCTGTGTGAAAAATGTGTTTCTATAAGTTTTAACTCTTGCCAACGTTTTAAACATAACTATAAAAGAGGAAAAAATACAGTTTAAAAAACTACTTATATAGCACTTTGTATTTTCCAAAGCACTCATCACAAATGTCATTTTGATGTTTGCATCTTATAAGTAACTATACTTTAGCCCCAATAGTTAAATGATGTGGTTAAGTGACTAGACTTTATAAGTTACTGAAACTGCAAATAACATTTCTCTTTTTAGAATGTCAGCTTTATAGTGTGATTCTGTACACGTAGAAGGTGAATTGGAATCAGCTGAGTTAGCAATAAAGCACACTTTCAGCTGCAAAGTGTAAACTAGCTAATGAACTTGGATTTTTCTCATATATACGGAGTGTGGAGGTAGGCAGTTCCTGGTATTGGTTCAACTACCAAGAGCTGCCACATTTGCTTTACCAGTTTTCTCTCTCTCATTCTTCTGACATCATTCGGACAAATGATTTTCTTCTGAATCTTTTAAAAATAATTGCATGTAGGGCGGTGCGATAGCAGCTGGAGGGCAGAGGAGACTGTTTTGACCCGTCTTGTCCTTGCCATGAGGCAGCAGCAAGCACCGGTGTCCGGGAAGGTCTTCATTCAGCGAGACTACAGCAGTGGCACCCGCTGCCAGTTCCAGACCAAGTTGCCTGCGGAGCCGGAGAACCGGGTACGCAGCCTGGCTCCCCGCACCTGCCCCTGGGCGAGGGTGGGAGCCTCCCCGGGGGCAGGCACGGAAGGGGTCGGGGCCAGGGGGATACGAAGAGGGCCACTAAGCAAGACCTGGTTGGAGGAGGAAGAATAAGGCCAAGCGCCTGGGTCTGCTGCCCTTCCGGAGCTATGGTACCCAGTGCCAAGAATTCGTATGCCACGGTCTTCCCCTGCTGTCCCCCACCCGACCCCACCCTACTTCGGCTTGCTGATAACAGTGATGAGGAACTAATTCCTGACGCTCCAGGCCACCTGCCTCAGCGTGTCGTAAGCTGTATCCTCCAATCTCACCACGCAAGAGACATCATCATCATTCTCGTGACTGGCGTTTGTGGCCACTGTGCCGGCTGCGCTGCTCTGCAGAAAGGGTTCATTTAAGTGCTCTGCTAGGCAATGCAGAGAAGTCTTATTGGAACTTGAAAAACGCAGAGCGTTAGAGAGGACTGGACAGGAAACTCTCAGAACCAGGCCTTAAACTTGTCCCTCGGAGTTATGATCACTGGAGGCCAGCTGTGTTGTGTCCGCTTGCATATCAGAACTATCATCAGGATGTGGGTCCTTTGGGCAACCCTCCACACAGAAAAGGATGTGTTTCCCTTTTCCACAGACTGAGGAAAAAATGCATATGTATGTTGATCTTTGTATCTTACTTTAAAGGTGCAGCGAAGCGAGCTTAGGTGAGTAGGTGTGTTTTCGTGGGCCCACATGTGTTCACACACCCAAACAAAGACTGTTTTGGTCTTGATCTATGAAAGATAAACTTTATTGTGTGTTTCCTGTTCAGAGGATGGGAGCAGGTTTTGTGGCTCTTTCTTCTTTGACAAGGAGGGTGAGAGACTGGGAGGTGATTCGGCATGCGTGTGGGTCCAAGACAGGTCGTAGAATGAGTAGGTGTAGTTGGGTCTGCACTGGAGCAGTCGTTTAAAAGTAGCTTGTAGGGAGGCAGGTTGTCCTACCTGACTGCCACGGTTGGAAAATAAACAGTGATAAATTATAGTGTCCTTCGGCTTACAACCCTCAGCAGGTTAGTAGCCCAAGTATGTCTCTTTAAATGCCAAGTAAAGCTCAGACATGCCTTATAAAGTTGGTTTGTAGATTAGCTTGTTTGTGGAATGCCTTAGAAATGCTGCAGTTTGGTGTCACCATGTGAGAGTTACCAGCCTGACCCTAGGTGGACGTGTCCACAGTGGTTTGAAGAGAGAGAAATTAAGCAAAGTTGCCTGTTGGCTAGAGCTACTCAGTGTTGTTTTTAAAGTAATTTAACATCACAGTAAATACGTTTTACCTGTTAGGACTTATATGAAATGAATCAAATGTTATATTTTTAAGCCTCTGATGGAAACTGTGACTTAACACTGTTTATGTACTTTCAAATTAGAAGGTAAGCTGTCCTTTTTCACTGCACTGATTTGGCTGTTGCATGATTCCTTTGTTCAAAGGTTTTAAAGTCAAACTTCCAACTTATAATTGAGCCAGATATATGTATGCAGAGTCAGACGTCAATTAGCCTTGCTCTCTGTGTTTGGTGGAACCTTTATTTTGTAGTTTGTGTCACAGAAACAAACATAGCCACAGTACTCCACTGGTTCTTACAGGAAATTGATGTTTCTAAATCCTGGAGTCCTTTTACTTCTACTTCACATCACCCAGAACTGCTTGTGATTCTGAGTACTATATGGAATGTTACTTGGTGCTATTCAATTGTGCCTTTGAATTTTTTTTTCTTTTTAAATGTTTGGGTTAAAACACTAGCTTATACTTTAAACTGCTTGGAAAAGCTTTGGCTTTTTTTTTTAATGTGTTGAGATTAAATTTAAATTACAGGTTTAAAATTTCCCTGCTTTGTTTGATGGAAAATTGAAAGTTTTCATTGTTTCTCTACGACTTACCCTAGAAGTTGTGCTGATTGCTCTGCCACTGGGGCTGATTTTCCTTTTGTGGGAACATCGCACTTGGCAACTTAGTAGAGGAAGAAATAAACATACAAATGTTTGGTATGATTTTAAAACATTAAAAAAATAATAATAATTGCATGTATTATGTCCTTTACCCCAAAGTACTTAAGTATTTGTTTCCTCAAAACAAGGGTTTTCTTTTATATCACCATAGCACACTGTTAGCAAATTCAGCAGATTTAACATAGTTACAATATTATTTAATGTACGGTTTTGCATTCCAGTTTCAACAACTGTCCTGATGATGTCTTTCAGACAACTCATAGGCTTTTAGCTTAGCAGGTCAAATGACTGATAAACCAAAGCATTCTTGTTCAGTTTAGTTATGAGCAGAGAGAGTTCACCATTTGAAAATATAGTTCTTTTCCTTTTAAAAGGTGACTGCATAGTGCAGTCAACAGTCCTCATGAGTATAAGATGTGACCAAAGGATCAAATTTAGAGTCAGAACCAAACACGTAGGTTGACTAGCATTTTTTAATGTCATCATGCTATCTTGCTTATTTAAACTCCATAGAATTTTTAAAGCCTGTTTACCTTCTACATAGCATTATTAACCATTTAAACTCATGTCATGATTAGAATCAACATACCTGAACTGCAGTTATTTTCCACAAAGTCTAATTATTACCTCAAGTTTGTCAGCTGGGATGTGTTACAGTCTTATGCATAAGGACCAATTTTAAATTAAAGTCCGTTGGATTAGATGTGTGACATTTCCTAGTTTAGAACGTCTTTTTCATAATTTTGTGCTCTCACAATAGAGTTGAGCGTTTTGAAAGTTTCCCCATAAACAAGGGAGAGTAGAGATTTGGCAAGAATTTAGTTAGCATACCGAAACTTAGCCATTAATTGTGTTTCTGAGTGGGTGGAAAATAGATGTGATAGTTTTAAAAAGTTACTAAAAAATAAATTTCCTTACTTTACAGTTATATTAAATATTTACTGAGCTACTGCAAGAAGCATGGCAAAGTAACCTCTTCTTTTTTTTTTTTTTTTTTTTTATAATGAACCTCTTCTCTTTTTGTACTCTCAAGTGTAGTTCTGATACAGGAAAATGTGGGGCGAGAGGAGGGCTGTATCCCAGGTCTCGTTTGGGTCCCTGGGACGTGCCCCGACAAATGTGGGTCCTTGGTTTGTGCAGGAAAGAATTCAAGAGCAAGCCACAGTTGAGTAAAGGTAGATTTATTTAGAGAGATACATACTCCATAGACAGAGTGTAGGCTGTTTCAGAAGGCAAGAAAGGCCGTGAAGTGAGGGGGTTGAGTGCTCAATAGATATACACCATAGACAGTGAGATCCATCTCACTCAGAAGGGAGAGAGGCCACGAGGTGTGGGGTTGTTAGTGTTTATAGGCTGGGTAGCTTCATATGCTAACAAGTGGGAGGATTATTCCAACTACTTTTTGGGGAAGGGGCTGGGACTCCCAGGAATTGGGCCACCGCCCACTTTTTGACCTTTTTTGGTCAGCCTTGGAACTGTCAAGGACCTGTGGGAGTGCCATTTAGCATGCTAATACATTGCAATGAGTGTATAAAGAAGTTCAAGGTCTAGAAGTCAAATTTCTTGCCATCTTGAGCCTTAAGGCTTCCTGGGAGCTTAATCTTCCACCATTTTGGTGTTCTTTGCTGTGTCATTCCTTGAATGGCTGTGCCCTCTCCCTTCCTTCCTGTCCCAGTTCCACCCTTTGACTAAAGCAAGTAAGGACTCTTGTTTCTGTTTTAATCCATCTGTTTCATTTTTTCCCCTTTCATTTACTTGTTCTGTGATAATGGCAAAGAAGTTGATTTATTGCCAATAAGTTCTGGTGCCATAGAAACCAAAATGACACTCCCCTGAAGACTGATTTATGGCTCCGTCTGCATCTCAGAGTCACATATTGTTCAACGATGTTTGCAAATACTATCTTCTGAAGCTACAATTCCCAGAAACACCATGAAAATGCATTCCTCTCTCTGTGCCATCTCAATTCTTTTGTTTGTTTGTTTATTTGTTTTATGATGTACGGTATTATGTTAGTTTCAGGGGTATCAAATCCTTTTTTACTCTATTTGATCAAGGAAGAGTTTGCTGTTGTCAACTGAAATAAAATCACACAACATGAGAGTTGTGGGTTAAGTTTTATTCTGGGGCAAAATGAGGACTATAGCCTGGGAGACAGCATCCCAGAAAGCTCTGAGAAACTGTTCCAAGGAGGCAGGGGGAAAGCTCAGTATTATATATGATTTCAGTGAGGGGGGACGTGCAGCCAAGCACACGTTCAGGCAGAGCCTGCTGCTAGTCACGAGGAGCAGACGTCACCGTTAATGATCCTAGTGCTTTTCTAGATATGAGGAGACACAAGAACTGGGGTCATAAAATCTTTTTCTGAAAATATCTATCTGAACTCCTGTTCAGCCAGTTCTCCCAGAGCACAGAGCGCCTCATTCCTGACCTTCATCCTGAACTCCTTTCAGGGTATGTTGAAGGTCAGTGGTTGCAGTGGCTCCTGATTTAATCCAAGCAGAGTTGGATGGCCAGTGCCAGTGTGATCCAATCCCTGTTATGCATGTGAGGTGTACTTAATGGTGTCCCAAATTTCTCTGAGGCTCTGTTCTTTTCTCTTCATTCTTTTTTCTCAGGTTGCATGAGCTCTATTTTATCTATGTTCGAGTTCACTGATTCTTTTTTATGCCAGCTCAAGCCTACTATTACTGAGTCCCTTTAGTGACGTTTTCATTTCAAATGTTATATTTTTCACTTCAGAATTTCTGTTTGAATTTTTAAAAATAATTTGTATCCCTTTATTGATATTCTATATTTGATGAGACATTTTCATCATACTTTCTTTTAATTCTTTAAGCATACTTTCCTTTCATTCTCTGTACGTAGTTTTAATGGCTGCTATGAAGTCTTTGCGAAGTCTTCACCATCCAGGCCCCGTCAAAGACATTTTCTATTACCTACTTTTTATCCTGTGTATGAGTCACACTTCCTGTTTTTCGCATGTCTTGTGATTTTTTGTTGAAGGTGGGCATTTTAGATAATACATTGTAGCTGCCTTGGATACTGATTCCCCTACTCTGAAGGTGGTGGTTGTTGCTGGCTTTGTTGTCTATTTCTTAGCGACTTTGTTGAACTAATTCTGCGAAGTCTATTTCCCTACAATGTGTAGCCTCTGATGTCCCTGCTCAGATTTTCCCTTCTTGTTCTTATCTTTTAACGATGGCTATTTAGGGTTGCCCTGGGTAGGAATAAGGCACTTACTGAGCAAGGGATGCGCATCAACCCGCTTAGCCACTTAGATTTTCCCCTTTACCACTGGATGTGTGTGTGTGGCACAGTTCAAGGAATTTATGTTTTTGCCTCGTATTCAGCTAGGGAAGTCACCTGGAGGTTCCCTGTCTGATCGTTCCTCAGAGGGCACAGCCTTCAGCATACACACAGTTTTCTGCCAGGGATGAGTACGGTATTTTTAGGCTTGATGTTTTTAGCAACTAGAAGTTGCTTCTGGGTCAGAGTGGATTACTGGTGAACCAGTGTTGGTCAGAGATTGTATTTAAGCCCTTTGTGCCAGTGAGGCTTGTGTGGGTGGTTCTGTGTGTGGCTTGGGGACACTTTCAAGCCCTGCCCTGATTGCTCCTGAGTAGGTGCAACCTATCGTATACACGTGACCTTCCCAAACCCAGAGCTGACTAGATCCCAGGAGGGCTCTTCTTGGCTGTCTCTTTCCCTGGTTGGATCAGTGCTTTGCCATTCTGGAAGTCCTGTCCTGACAAACACATTCAAGGGAAGCAGAGTGTACTGGTTAAGTGCACATGCTCTAGATCCATACTGCCTGAGTTTGGATCTTGGATATGCCTAGCACTCGGTGGATGTTCTTGGCCAAGTGACTTAACTCTGTGCCTCAGTTTCCTCATTTATAAAAAGGGAGTGATGATGGTATCCACCTGATAAAGTTGCTATAAGGATTCATTGAGCTAATGTAAAGCATGTGGTGAGCACTACTACGTCAATGTTTGTTTTGAATTCAGTGTTTCAATAATCAGAATCAGGAACTTGGAGTCCTTTTCCTTCTTTTGAACTGATCTGAATTCAACCAGAATAGTATTTGATGACTCATTCTCTTCAGATTTGAGCTAGGAGGGCCTGGAGTGGAATTCTTACCCTATAGGGTAATCTGAGGAGCTTCTTAATAATTCAGATTCCACATACTCCCTCTAGAGAGTCTAATTCTGTGGTGCTGGGGTGAGCTAGAATCTGTATCTTTAATGCGTTTCCAGTTGATGCTGGTGCAGAGGACCACTGACCACACCTGAGGCAAACTGACTGGACCCTCGCATCATTCTTTGGCTGACTGTACCCATTGGCTTTCAACTGGAGAGAGGAAAGATTTTTGTCTCCCAGGGGACCTTTGTCCGGAGACGTTCTTGATTGCCACAAGTGAGGATTTTTTTGGCATCTAGTGGGTAGAGACCAAGGATGCTGCTCAACATCCTGCAATGCACAGGAGAGCCTGAACAACAAAGAATTATCTGTCCTGAAATGTCAGTAATGCTGAGGATCAGGGACTCCACTGTGGACCATTCTTTCTCTCATTCCTCCTTTTCCCTTAATTCTCCCTAAATCCATTATCTGCCAAATCTGCTAATCAAGGAATAGCAGAATGTTGGAACTAGAAGGGACCTTGGAAATCATCTAGTCTTACGCATCTGAGAGAAAAATGACATGCCCGAGTCCATACAGTTAGTGGCAGAGCCTACTGCAAGATTTTTCCTTATAACCCCTCCCATTCCAGAGGACGAACATGATTAAATGCTGCAGAAGGAAAAGAAGGTGCTAGAGTAGTTGCATATTGGCTTGGCACGTAGCTTTCTAGATTAACAATCTCAATTCTGGGAGAAATTGTTTCAAAATTTAGTTAGTATTACACAGACCTTTGTTAAGTCATTTATTAGATTTTAAACATTCTTTGTATCTGAATCATCAACCAAAAGTGCTAAGCAGTATGAATCATTTCTCAGCATAGCTCCTGGGAGCCTTTATTCCTGTCTCCTACAGCTCTGGGGCATGCCTGAACACTTATCTTCTTCTTCTTCTTTAAAAAAATTTTTTTGTTGGGGCAGTAATTGGGTTTATTTATTTGTTTAATGGAGGTACTAGGGATTGAACCCAGGACCTCGGGTATGCTAAGCATGGACTCCACCACTGAGCTATACCCTCCCCACTTCATTTTATAAGACGTCAGTGGAAAATGGACATTCCACTGAAGATTATTTACAGGACACGGAGGAGAGGGTTCTATTCGAAGCCACCAAGCAAAACTTCCTACAAGTTCCTTGTAGACATTCCATTCTCCTGCCTTACACCTCTCACCCCCTTCCTTCTCCCTACTTTGCCTCTGAAATGCACTTCAAGTTTCAACACTTTATGTAGAAAAGAGAAGCGCTGAAGTGTACCATCTACCCCGCCTCTCAAGGGCCATTTATTTTTCTCAGTTGGGTTTTGCAAAGGTGAGAGGTGAGATGGTAGTGTCTGTCTCATTTCCAGTGCTGAGTGGTTTCTCAAAGGATTCAAACTATGAAACATTTCTCTTCTCTAAGTACCAGAGTAAAATTCTGCCAGTAAGAAAAATAAGATTTTTTTTTCTCCAAAGCATTAACATGACAAAAATACCTAAAACATAGTAGCAATGGCAAAGTGTTCTTAATCAATAAATTCTCTATTTAAAAGGCCATGCTCAGCATAAGAACCATTCACACAAACTTTAGGATCTTGATTACTTCTGAAAATTTTAGGGGAGGGGAATCCAAGATTTTCAGTTGAACCACTATTTATAATAGCAAAAAAATGGGGTGGGTATTAAATAACCACAAGAGATTGGAAACATAAATTATGTAGCTTCCAATCCTCTACAGCCTGTGAAAATACTGATGTGGATCTCTAGGCACAGACATGGAAAGGTGGCCACTGCATTTTGTGAATAAGTAAGTCTTGTTAAATTATGTTGGAGAGAGGATGAACCAATCTGTACTGCCAGCATATTGGGGAATGCCCGTTATTCCACCCACCCTTGATAATGCATTAGTAATCTCAAATTTGCCAGTCTGACAGGCACATGGGCACATATGTACACACAAACACACACTCTTAAAATCTCTGTATTGTAATTGCTAATGAGAAATGAGAGAAATCTGTTTACCATCCAAATTCCTGAAGGATCAGTTTGTCCACCCTTCTATTGCACAAAGCGATGGGATAAAATTAAGTTACTTTGATAAGTGGTGAAACTTTCTCTGCCCTGGTGGTGAAGGCCTATTTGAGGGGTGCTGAGAAAAGAAAAATGGAAGAGAACATTTCCTGTTTCTCATTCTGTAAGGTCAGAATTATCCTGACACCAAAACCAGACAGAGATGTTACAAGAAGAGAAAACTACAGACTAATATGCTTTATGAATATAGATGAAAAAATTTTAACAAATTACCAGCGAGTCAAATCCAGCAGCATATTAAAAGATTATACACCATGACCAAGAAAGATTTATCCTTGGAATGCAAGGATAGTTCAGTAGGATATGAAAAATCAGTCAATGGAATACACCATATTGATAGAATGAAGGGGGAAAAACACATGATCATCTCAATGGATGCAGAAAAAGCATTTGATAATATCCAACTCTTATAGTAAAAACACCCAACAAACAAGGACTAGAAAGCAACTTCCTCAACCTTATAAAGTGTATTTTCAGGTAAGACTGAAAGCTTTCCTCTGTGATCAGGAACAAGAAAAGGATGTCAGCTCTCACCGCTTTTATGTAGCATTGTGTATTTATTTAGCTATGTAAATTAGAAAAGAAAAAGAAATAAAAGACATCTTTTATTTGGGGAAAAAAAGGGGAGAAAGAAGTAAAACTACATATACAGATGATTTTATCTTATATATAGAAAATCCTAAAGAGTTGACAAACTATTAGAATTAATAAATGAACTCAGCAAAGTTGCAGGATACAAGTTACAAAATGCAAAAATAAGTTGTATTTCTATAAACCAGCACTAAACAAGCTGAAAAGGAAATTAACGATTCCATTTAAAATAGCATCAAAAGGAAAAAAAAACAATTAAGAATAAATGTTACTGAGGAGGTAAAATGACTAAATTATGACTAAAAGTCATAATATATTGTTGAAAGAAATTAAAGACCCAAATAAATGGAAAGACATCCCATGTTCATTGATTAGACTTAATATTGTCAGGATGGCAATACTCTCCAAATTAATCTACAGATTAAATAAAATTCCTTTCAAAATCCCTGTGGGCTTTTTTGAAAAAGATGGGCAAGCTGATTCTAAATTCATATGGCAATTCAAGGAACACAGAATACCGAAACATTCTTGAAAAAAACAAAGTTGGAGGAGTCACAATTCCTGATTTCAAAACTCACTACAAAGCTAGAGTAATCAAGACTTCGTGGTACTGGCATATGATGGACATACAGATCAATGAAATATAATTGAGAATCCAGAGAAGTAAACTCATACATTTATAGTCAATTGATTTTTGACAGGGATTGCAAGACAATTAATGGGGGAAATAATAAACTTCAATAAATGGTGCTGGGACAACTGGATGTGCATATGGAAATGAATGAAGCTGAACCTTTACCTCACACCATGCAAAAATGAACTCTTGAGGGATCAAAGATCTAAATGTGAGAGCTGAAACTATAAAACTCTTAGAAGGAAATGTAAGTGTTATTCATTGTGACCTTGCATTTGGCAATGTTTTCTTAGATAGGATACCAAAAGCACAAGTAACAAAAGAAAAAATAGAAAAATTGGGCTGTGGGTTCGTCACCAGTTGTGGGTTCTGGCCAGCAGAAGTCCCGCCGAAACGGAATGAATTACTCAAGACTCTATGGAAAAGTCAAGACAGCGAGAGGGAGTCCGGAGCCTCTCAAATGCCCTCACATTTATTGTGTACAATCAAAGGAGAAATCATTGACAATTGTGTGATGGAATGCAGGAATTTAGGGGAAGACAGGGTGGGATCTATATTGTAAAGTCTGGCTCAAGGTCAGAAGACCCTTTATCTTTTGGTAAGTCATGTTTGTGTTGACATCAGCGAGCCTTACAGCTTATCAGGGCTGAACGTCTGAGAAGAAGCTGCTTGACATTTTTCTTGGACTCAGGCAGGCGGTTGTGCCTGTCTTAGGTTGCCCCCCTCTGGGGGTCTTACCCGTCATTGGCTAATCAGCCTCCTCACCTCTGAGTCTGCAGCTTTTTATAACTTGTTTACCATTCCAGCCCAAGACTCG